GTTCCATCGCTATGAAGCTGCTTGCTGAATTATGTGCCCACAAATGGATTTTTGAAGTGGTAGGCACGCTGAAGGCTGGGGCAGCAGGACTCTACTACCGATCAAAACCAAAGGACTCAAGTCTTTGCACGCAAGCCAGTGCCTTGCTGAAACCTATGCAGGCCCAGTTCTGCCTAATCATTGTTCTTGGTCAGTTGCGTGCAATGCCACGAACTGTGGAGACACTGGTGTTCGGTCCAGTTGACCTTCACCTGAATGACCGGCCAGGGTGGCTACTGTACCTATAGCCCTAGCCACAGCCTTTTAATGAGTGGCACTTTATACCCTGGAGTTACGCTGGCAGAACCAGCCTTGATCTGAAGAAACCTAAATGTCACCGGCTGTTGGAGAGGCTGAATATAGGAGGAGATGTAGGCCCAGCATACTGCTGCAGTCCTCCAGAGACTTTCTTTGCCAAGCTGTCCCACGTAGTAAACACCCGTCAGACCCACACCAAAGCTCTCCTTACACTTAGAACTTGGTCTAAGGCTGGGTTATGCCTCGGGCTGCCCACTCCCCTTTCTGTGGTCATGATGGCGTACGGGCTCCACAATAGACGGACTTTCCCTCCCCTGGAATACGCTCCTTGTCCTGCAGAAGCTTCTCAACCTCCTGGGGCAGGCGAGGTTAGCCACTGCCTCTCCCTCGGCTTAAGAGAACTGGCTTAGCCCTCCTGGGGAAGGCAAGTCACCCCTTCCTCACCCCGACACCCGGTCCTCTGAAGCGGGGGGACTGGCACACCCCTGTCGGGGACTTTCTGCTCTTAGCCAGGCTCCTCTGGTCACAGCATAGGAAGCGGACCAGGGCAGAATGGAGCCCCGGCTACCTCCTAAAGCACCATCCTCAGGTCTGAGCTCTACAGAGGCTCACCAAAAGCGAACAGACCGATAAGCAGCGCCAGGGTCACCATCTTCCGAGCCTTTGCTTTGCTACGGAGCAGCAAGGAGGAAAAGGATGGCGAAGCTGGCGGTACCCAGGCAGTTCAGCAGCAGACTCGCCGTCCACGCTGGCCGAGGCTGCAGAAGCCCGGGTTGGTCCCGCCCGCAGACCCCAGTGCTCTGGAGAGCAGGAGGCCCTTGGCTTGGGGATTGCCTACAAAAAAGGAAAGAGCTTTAGACAGGCGAGACAGGCACTGCCTGCATGAGTGGTCTCGTGACGGCTGAGGAAAGCAGGCTAAACTGAAACAAAACACCTTTTCAGCCTCGCAGCCCAAGTATTTCTGCCTGGAAGGGCTGCCGGGAACTGCCTGAGCCCACAGCTGCAGGCACAGGGACACATGCAAGGAAGCTGCTACCCAGCCTGTACCCCTACAGTTCAAGTGCCTGCAGTGCAGGGGGGGTTGTCTGTCTCCCCTCTAGCAGCATTTCTTTAGCAGCCAGCTTGTCGCCGGCCCTTTCCTTGGCATAAAAGCAGACTGGGTAGAGAGGGCGGGCGGGCGGGCTGACTGTGA